TGGTGTTAGGATCAAAACGTTCTACGTCTTTAGCTAGCGATTCAATTTGACGTACACGGAGCCCTGACTCACGGTACGGCGCGTCATCCTCTGACTCTGACCCACGGTCTGTCTCAGAGTGCGCTGGATATCGCTGGTGTGCTCTGGGCTCCCAATGTTGACTCCTGGGGCCCAAATCAGGGTTCGGCATGCTGTGGCGGGCTGCTGGCACGTCACGTGGGTGTCTTGGGAGGTCCTCCTCCCGGGGCACGTCTGCGTAGTGCAGCCTGCGTCTTTCAACTGGGGCTTCTGCGTAATACGCTCTCTCCGGGTACGGACTGGCGTAGGATGCTTTGTCCTGAAGCTGGTTACCGGCATGCCGAATACCGGAGTAGCTAGGATGGGTGGATGGTTGAGGTGCAGCTTGGGCTTGTGCATAACCCCAGCCGGCACCTTGCACCCTTCGTGGACTGGGGGAGCGGTCTAAATAGAGGTGCCGCTCAGCTGGTCGACTTCTCACAGATTGAGAAGGCCGTGAAGATGAGGGTGGTGGTCCAACCTGGGGTTCGAGGGCGAATTGCCCTCGGCCCCTAGATGGTCCTGAATGCCCTAGAGTGTGTGTAGGGAACGGGGCCGAAGGTTGGGACAGATGAGCTTCATCTCTCCCCTGCGGCGTGCGTCCGTCCAGAGAATCATGGTGTTTCCCCCCTTCCAACTGTCTGTTGTCATCAGCAGAAGGGGGCGGGGTCTCCTCCCCATCTTCCCCAGAATCGGTGTTGTCTTCCTCCTCGTCATCCTTCTGCCTTCCATTTTGCTGCCTTTCAGCTAGCATGCTCTGGAGCTTCATGATCTCTCTATCATGTTGGAGTTCTCTCTGATAGAGGATCAAGGCTAACTTAGCTAAGTGAACCTGGATTGGTTTTGTACCATCCGGGTTTTCTATTTGATCAATTACAGCTTCTAGCTCGACGCTACGCTGTTCTTCAGTGAAATCCCTAGAAGGGTAGTCGGGTTCTCGAGCAACCGCGACCAGTTTGGACAATATTTGTCCAGAAAGTAGGCCAGGTTCATAGTCGTGGGCCGCAGCGCCACCTGGTTGCTGGGAGTTGGTCAGTTCACTACTCTGTCCCTCCATTTTTAACAACCGAACCAAAAATAGCCTAGTAGAGCTTCTGCAGATAGCTCAAGGCTGCACCTTTGGCAGCAACTGCTAGCTTTGTAGCAGAAAAACACTAAATTAACCTTTGTGCGCACAGGTTTTAGCGTTTTAAGATTGCACGGAATGCCGTGACTGACGCTTAAAATACTATTCCTTTCAGTATTTTAGCAAAAGCTGGTGCGTTGCCGTAGCAACGTCTTACAACACTTGCAGTGTTAACTATGCTAGTTATTCCTTCAGAATATTAGCAAACAAGGTGTTATCAGTCTTTGAGTGAAGGTTTCAGTTAGTTATAATAGCCACTGTGAGTTAAAGTCGCTAAATTAGCAGTTAATTTTAGCCTAAAAGGGTTAGTCAGAATTACTTACACGCTGCACCTTTAATGAGGAACTGAATTTTAACCTAAAAGGTTAGCCAGAATTAATTACACGTTGCACCTTTAAGGAAAAACTGAATTTTAACCTAAAAGGTTAGCCAGAATTAATTACACGTTGCACCTTTAAGGAAAAGCTGAATTTTAACCTAAAAGGTTAGCCAGAATTAATTACACGTTGCACCTTTAAGGAAAAACTGAATTTTTAACCTAAAAGGTCAACCAGAATTAATTTACACGTTGCACCTTTAAAGAAGCACTGAGTTACTGGTGAGAGTTCGATGCAGCTTCCTGCTCAGCGAAATCAGCACCACTCTGTTGCTGGTTAAAGGCTGAACAACTGATTATTTTTAATTCAAGCTCTTTGGATTTATTTGTTTGTTTGTGCCGGATAGAAATCTCTGTGTATCCAAGCCTCACACGGCCGCACCAATAAAATGTTGGGGTTATTAGGAGCGAACAATTCGTAAGCTTTAACTTACTTTTGGATTCTTCAATAAATTCTGTAAATATGGAACTATTTACTGATTTATTAATTAATTAAGATATTCTTAGATATCTTCGGGGCACCACCCTTTAATTAGAAAGGGAAATGAATCCAAAACTCTTATCAGTCTTTCTTGAAGTTCGTAGAATCCTCGGAGCAGAGACTTCTCTTCGACACAACAAAGCTACTGGACACAAAAATCTGAATTTTATAACATTTAATTAACAATTTGTCAAATGAATAAACAGTGGAATAGATGAATAATAACCGTGTGATATGATTGAAGATGGATGTGTTTGCATGTGATGGAGGATGTATGAATGGGGTCCTTTGTTCTCACAAAGGAGTAGTGTGTGTGTGTGTGTGTGTGTGTGTGTGTGTGTGTGCGTGTGTATGGATTCAAAATGGAGTCTTGAATACAAGATGGCTGACCCCTTTGTCTGGCTAAAGTGTGGGTGGCAACTTGCACTTTAACTTCCAAAGCACTTAGAATCAGTAGTAACTTAACCTTAAATCACTCAAAACATTTCAAAAGATCATGAAACAACACAAAAGATTAATCACAAATTAATATCTTTTAGTTTCAGCCTGGCCATGACAGAAACCATTTTAAGATACCAAACAATGATCAATAAGCAGTTTATTCTTTCAAAATGACCCGACGGACGTGTTTGGGACGAAAGAGGAAAACACGAAGCTACTTTTTAAGCAATAGCGCGGTTTTATTGCTTATTCTGGACTATAGAGTTAACGGAAGAAGAAGGAGAGAGAGAAAGAGATGAGTTGCTGATCACCAGAAGAGCGAGGCGTCCCTCCCTCTTTGATTTGACGGTTCTCCGTGTTTCTCCGCAGCTTTCGGCGTCGTCCGTCGGTTTGATGCTTTCTCCGTTGTTTGGCGTTCACGAGTGTTTCTCCACGGGCTGGACAGAGACAGCAAAGTTTCTTTCTGTGCTGAGTTATAACTTACAGCGTGCTTGATGGAGTTGTTGCTTTCCTCCGCAGTTCTGTGTCCTCAAACATCAGCTGGAGGGGAGCAGAAACGAGCAGATCTGATGGGCTTGCAGTTTAGTTTCCAGCAGTTCCGTGGGCTCAACTTGGGCACTTAGAGCTTCCGCGTGCTCAAGGGAGTCGGAGCGTTGACAAGCGTGTCCTTACCGCCAGGTATCCTGGGCAAAAGAACGAGGATTCTTTGTCTCTGCTGAAGATTTATGGTCTTAGTTCGCGGGAAAAGCTCCACGGCTTCCCGCACATGCGCAGAACGTGTTTCTGGTACTAGGCGGTGACATCATCACAATGCTTCCGTGTGCAAAGCATCATGGGAAATGAAGTTTCTTGGCGCTGATGTGATTATTTGCTTTTCAGAGCAATTTAAGCACAGTCATTTTGGAGACAATCACTGCATAGTAATTTCCTCATGAGGTCAGACCCTCAACATTTACATATATATATATATATATATATATATATATATATATATAAGAGATGGGACATCTTCATAGTGTTTGTGGATATAAAGAGGAAATAATCACATAGCTCTAGTTTTCCCAGGGTATTTCACTAGGTCGGTTAATTGTTTTTCAAAAAAACTAGAATTCACATCTTAACTTATATTTCCTTTTTTCCATTTTTCTTCCTTTCTGTCTTTGCAGCATAGAAAGACTATGGCGGGACCTGTGGATGGCAGTCACAAGCACATACTACCATATGTTGCACAGCCTTGAAGAGGAGGGTTCACTGGACCCCACTAGCTATCTACACCTTTTTGCTGCCCATTATGTGTTCCTACCCCGACTACAGTTAGAACTGTGCAGCTTCATTCATGGATGGAATAATCATCCTCTCCGAACAGAGCAGAACCTGACACCAAACCAACTCTGGGAGATAGGGCGGGCACAAAATCCAGTCTGCTCAGCAGAAAATCAACAGGTATGGATTCCCGTTATTTGTACATGTTGGCTTGATAACTTTAACATTTCTAAGATGATATCATTGTCAAAGCATGTAGCAGTCTAGTCATCTTTAAAATTTACATAAATTTCCCAAACACATGCGTATCAAGTGGATTAGTAAACAAGGTTTATATTAACCCTGGATTTAATTAAATTGTCCACAACAGATTAAACCAGTCTTTGAGTGTGACAGGAGCAGACTGAAATCATAATACTAATATTGGTTTAACTTTCTGAACAGCACGATGTTGAGCAATGTCCTGCAGTTGTTGAAGATGGGGAAGAACTTCCAGGTGTTGTGGTCCCACCTGTGACATGTCCTCTCACACAGCAGGGTCTTGAAGACCTCAGAGCCACCATCAATCCCAATGGACCATCAGATGATTATGGACGAGGACTGTACATCTCTGTTGTAAACTACGTTGAGCTTCACAGCTCACTCTAAAATGCAAAATGTCATTGCAAGGCGTAAGTTATTAAAAGGATAAATAAACATGTAGGCATATTTGAAACATCAATAAATTAACTACATACATTGTTTCTTTTCATCTTCTAAAGAATTTTAATTAACACATTTATTAATGTTTTTCAATGAAGTTACACATGAGACTGAAATCTTGAGTTTATTGAGATGAGAAACAGAAGCACCATGTTGGAACACCATGGCATTACTTACTTTTAAAGCTTGAGTGTACAGTAAAGAGCTAATATATAGAACATATTAAATGAGTAACAGAACACTGACACACATGTGGGAACAAAAGCTGCAATTCCAACTTACCACAGATCACTCCTAGATCATGTGGAATTCTTTGCCACACGTAATTGCGGTAGCCATGTTTACTTTGAACTCATCATAAGTACATAGGTGAGCAGTTGGAAAAGTTACAGTGTGTGAACATGCACTCACAACTGGAAAGCACAATGAATGTTTAGGCATGCGCTCAAAACAGTCATGGTCAAAACAGACTGTAATCTTGAACCGCTGTCTTTCTGACAGTAGGAGATGCCGATGAGACTGTCCTGTGAACCACTGCAGGACCTTTGGTACAGTCAGTTGATCTTTTCCTCCATCTTCTTGGTTATCTTAAAAAAAATTAAGAACACACTTTAACACCTGTCAAGTTAAACAAAAACAAATGTCTTTACAAAGACCCACTGGCCAGAAAAACCAAAGAACAACATCAGATCGGCCCACCGGGAATTTCCCCAGTTGGGTCCTGGTTCGACCTTCCGTCTTTGTTAGACAGGAGCTGGTTATCACATTAACTGTCACTGTGACACCAGAGCTAGGCTTAGTTGGCACTCATTACTGTAACTAGATTCTACAAAGTTTTCATAAATAAACAACTTAGATCTGTGGCTCGTGATTAAAACCAGAGACCACCGCAGGTGCGAGCTTGTAATGAGTGCCCACATTTTTGCAACGTGAGCGGTGGTGAAACATTTTTCCAACAATGATACTGACGTTCGGTGCACACAGGTGTGGGTTTCAATTAGCAACAGGACAAGGTAAATACAGCGAAAGAAACAGAGGGACCAGACCAAGTAAAGTTTTTGAGCTAAACTGCAGGGAAAATGTGGGTGTTTTGGGTGAGACGCCCATGCAATGCATAACTGATTGAGCACATAGGCGTGTGACGTCATGAGCGCATCTCCAAGCATGTGGGCGGGGCAAGAGACTGCAAAGAAGTTTGTGTTGTTTTCATTATAAACAAATAGAGCAATCTTGTTGTTGGAGGCATCCTGCTTTGCTGTTCATTTTTACCCTCAAATTATGACTGAAAGAGGGTGTGTGCGTGTGTACGCACTCCTCACAGCAGTAAGAGACAGTAAACCTACATTAGTCAGACACTCATTTTAAAGCAAATTGCAGGTTAGAGACTCCCATGAACCAATGTTTAGAGAAACATATTAGAAACTCGTTTTAGACATTTTTTACACATAGATAAATTATTTAGGCTTTTAGAGTCATTTTGGTGAGAATTTTTTTTCTCCCAAACCAAGTGACGTCAGCTGAGGGAGTCCTGTTAGCTTAATCTAGAGAAAAATATAGATTATAATGGCATCTCTGACACAGAGGAAACTTTAAATATTTATAATTCTACTCATGATGGACCAAAACCATAAAGTTATGAGTTTGCTGCTCGCCCCAGAGAGCAGAGACAAACCAGAGGGAGAAATGAGCTGTGGGTATTGGACCATTTCCTCTCCAGACAGACCACCTCGGGAACAGGACTGAAAAGACGTTTGGTTGCACATGGGAAAATCAAAGGTTCCCTAAATGAGAAACTCAACCCGGTCCAGGTGGAGTGGAGCCGATGCTACTGTGTAAATGCCTAAGCTGACCAAGAAAGTCTGACTTTGGGAACCAACTTGTCTGGGGCACAGATGACAATACCACAGTTGTCAGAACTGAAGCATGATTACTTTTGTGTCACCAGTTTTTTATTTGTGGAGTGTCACATAAAAGCTTAATAGTGATATTCTCCTCTGACTATTGCTATACCTAAGTGCTGAATTGTTTTGTAAGCAACCGATAACGTCAATAATACATACCCTCAAGTTCAATCAGAAAATCCTGAAAGTAATTCAAGATTTTAACTTCTTTGATGTGCTTGATGCTGCCCTTGTCACTCATCTGCGGGTCAAGGTGAGAAACAATGTAGTGGGAGTCAACCTGCAAACGACATGGAAAGACCTTGTTGTTATACTGTCTGACAGGCCTTCAACATACAAAATAGGCAATAATACCTTGTCATTATTGTCTGTGACAAAAAGACCTCGACAGTGTTCTGGTTTCTCCTTCAGGACCGTGGCAAATTTGTACAAATCCAGGCCATCTCGTAGTTCCTTCAGCATTGGTGTGCGTTGCATTGTTGCATGCAAAACAATGGCCCTTTTTAAAATGTGTGAAAAAATATATGAAGAATTAGAAAGAACATATTAAGCTCTAAAATAATTTGTAAGTAGAAGAATATAATTGAAAATCCATTTATTGTCCCTCAGTAGGGACATTTTCATTTACAACTGCAATTACATTCACAAAAGGCGCTAACTAGGAAAACATTACCAGAGAAAACATAACACAGAACTCAAATTCAAAATAGTAAAATGTTCAACATTAAAGAAGTTTCAATGACAAAATGACACCTGATCATCTCCCCTTTTTTCTCCATGTTGATTTGCCCTGTGTAACCACAGTTTAGGATTTCCTCTGTATACGCCAATAGATCCTCAGACTCCTCAAGCTTGAAGACAAAACAAATGCAGAAACGAGTCAATGTAGTTATGTCAAAATTCGATAAAAACAGAGTGTTGAAAAAGGACTCACAAAACATAATTTTTTTTCCTGCATTTTCTCCAAATAGAAACTATTGGCTGAAATGCTAGGATTTAATAAACCCAACAGATCTACGTCACACTGTCACTTAATATTCATGGACTCACCCATCTTCACTGATGAAAAGGAAGGCTGTTGTTGGTTTAGCATTTATTGAATAGCAGACAATGTCTTGAGTAGTAGGAGCTAACAGTTAGCATTAGCAAATCCACCTCACGGCAGAACTCAATCAAGTTTGTGTTATTTGTGGAGATAAAACATCAATGTTTCCAACCAGAGTCAGTGGTAGAGTTGTGTTGCTGTTATCTGATGACACCTTGTACCTTCATGATCAAACTTCTCAGTTGCGGCTCATATATGTCATTTTTGGTGACAGTTGTCAGCCGGTCTGTTGCAAGGAAACTGAAACACCATTCCTGCAGGAAATTGGGGGCAGGTCCACCCTGGGCCAGACTGGCTGCAAAGATTTCCCCTGCAACTCTGATAACAGAATGAAACTATGGCCATGGAACTTGTTATGCAGAATGATAATTTCCTAGAGCCACATTTAAAGGGTCAGTACAGTACAAATGGCTAAAAAGCAAATTAAAATGTACAAACCTGAACAGTCCCTTCTCTAAGTCACTGATAGAATATTTTGGCATTTTTCCTTTGCCTTCTTCCCCTTCAAACAGTCTCTCCTCCAAGCCAGCAACCATTTCTGAGTAGTGAACAGAAGTGTATTATAACCCATTTTATCAGTCTTTGGTGGTATATTTACCAAGTGATTAAAAATAAAGCAATATCATTAAATACTAATTAGCGAACCTGTCAGGAACTCCAGCCTTAAGGCTCCTGTGTCTACTCCTGCCTCTCCAATGAAGGTGACTTTCAGTGGGTTTAGTGGGGAGGCGTTTTTCTGACGTTGCCACAACTTCATGCCTCGCTCTACAAGCTCATCTCTTGTCACACAGAGATGAAACTCTTTACTCCTGTCAATTTGTGTAGCCAGCCAGCGCAGGACATCTTCTTCACTGTTGAACAGAGTGTACAAAGTAATAACATCACAATGAACACATTATGATTTTAAGAACATGCAAAGATTAAAACTTACCACAATATTTTGTGCATCTCTGTGGTGTCGTTCGCTGTGTCCTGGGGCACTGTGTTTGTCATCATGTGGCTTTCATAGCTAACAAAATTAAGACTTAGAATTGTCAAATAACAAATCCAAGTGACATTTGTCATATAAAATTATTGAAACTTAAAATTATACCCGATATCTCCACAAAAACTGGCGTGCATGGGTAAGTCAGCTTCTGGGAGCATTTTTCCACATAGTGGACATTCTTTTTCAGCAATCTAAAAATAAAAACAAAAAAAATTTCAAAAAAAAATGTTATTCGTTACATGAATATGTAGTAAGCAAAGAGAACAACCACTTAATTACACAAGTAACATTAAACAACATATAATAATGTGATAGGAAATGGCTAATTGTCCCTATGTAGCCCTTTCTAGTGTATGGTGACTTAGCAGACACTTAACTACACCAGTCATTCACACACCCACACACATTCACACTCTGGTAGGGACGAGTCAACAAATAGCCACGGCAGCCCTGCGGCACACCAACAAATGTGAAGCTGCCATACACACTCGACATCTCAGGTTCACCACGACAATCACCAAAATGTCAACAGGCTTAGTTTGGAATTGCTTTAAATCACCATTTCATCTTCAGATGAAGATAATTTCTCAATGTTAGTTTCAACGTCCAGGGGGCCATCAACTTCACGTTGCTAAAAAAAAAGCCCAGAGAAGTTTGTTCAAACTAGAGGCTGATCTCATAAACAAAGTAAACCTAGAAGTTAATAAATTAATATGGGTTAGGCAATTCTAATCATTTACCTGCTCATCTTCCGATGAAGTGATATTTGTAATACATTCTTGGACATGAAGAGCTAACACTTGCAGAGGCATTTCAGGACTACATGACTTGCATGTTGCCTTTGGCATCTTTTCATATTCCTTAGCATCATCTGGGAGTGGACTCAGATCTAGTTCCTCTTGCAGTGGAACAATGTAAATGACTGTTTTACCAGCTCCTGTTGCTGTCTTTAATTGGGCTCCAGTGTAGCCCTCAGGATCTGGTGGGAGGACAGTAAGACGCCTATGTCCACGGCCTCCTATAAATTAATAAAAGACTGACTTAATTAAGTGGTTCTTAAATAAATATATGTACAAAATACACTGTAGCATTGCAAAGCACCTGATGCTTTTTTAAGCAACCATCCTCCAGTTAAGACCTTCATTTTAGGATATGCTTCTGTCAGCTGAGTGGACACCTAATGATAAAGGGAAAAATGACCACAATTCCAATTGTGAATGTAACTTGCAAGACTCAAATGTGTAAATTGTTTTATATCTATAGACAATACATCTCCTTGAACAGCCTAAGAACTTTATTGTAAGGAATATTACCTGAACATGGTCCATGTCCTCTGAAATTGTGAGACTTCGTTTGTCCAGTCCTGCCAGAACATGCTCAAGTTCTTCTGAAGGCTGTGGAGTAGTTTCTGCATTACTGTGTAGCAGGTAACAGTTACAACGAAAAGATTTTGGTGCTTTAGTAGCTTTGACTGTGTTACTGCCACCGAGGAATCGTCTTTTCCCCAATAATTTGTGCCTTTGAAAAAGAGCAGGAAAAGATCTGCAAACAAGTGAAAACAATGTCACTAAACAAACTGCACAGAAAATTAAGAGAAACAGCATTGTATGTAAGCATTTGTTTAGCATATTAACCCTTTCTCTATATTTATTTATCAAAATGAAGCTGAGATAAACCTGGTCATGTCTTGGTGTACATTGGTGGGGGTCAGATTCCGTCCCTGATGGGACTGTGTCTGGATCGGGGGCTGAAGCGTTTGGGGCGTCTCACCCTGCTGGTTAGGTACACGAGTAGGCGTCTGGCCCTGAACCTCTTGCAAATTCTGCTGTAGCACACTGACCAGGGCATGCACCGCAGATGAAATGTCGCCACTGACATTTGTCTGGAGGGCCAATGTAGGTAGTTGACAGATATTATCAAAGAATGTGCGCACATTTACGTTTAATTGGTCTTTGTCAGATACGTGACCTGCATGTCAACCACACCCCCTTAGCGCCATTTTGGGTGTATGACTCGCATTGCTAGAGAAAGCCACAACTGAAGTTGAAGCAGCACAAAAGTCAAAATGATGGATAAAAAGAACAAGGACGAACACATCCCTTACAGGAATAAACTTGTGAAGGAGGCTAAGAATCGGTATTTTCAGAAATTGTCTACAATCAACATTGTAGATCCCTACGAACTCTAAAGTAACAAATGGGGCTCAGGCGTCTCATTACTGCTGAAAATATATCACTTCAGTAGGCGTAGCAAAATTCTGGCATATACGTATAATTAAGTAAAAGTAACCATCCAGAAACAGGACTCCACTAACACAGGCACTGCGCCAGGTACTATTTTCTGGATGATCCTTCATTAAACATGTTATCAACATAAGTTACAAGCAGATACAGAAACATTATGTACATGCAGAGGTCGCAATAGAGATTTTTGATGTAATTTAAATGGACAGAATTAAAAAAATGATCTTTTCCTCCTAACATTTTCATTTTCAAATAATGAATAAAAATTCACAATTTATTTTTAACGAGATCCCTGCCTCCATTTAAATGTTTTGCCTTCTTGTGAATATGGCATGGCAGCCCTTTGCACGTGTACAATTTTCTGCAGGTTTATAAGATCTAAACACAAAGCAACCAACGCATTCATTGTTTATACACCTAGCTATCCCATCATACAATGCTACAGCACCCGGTACGTCATCTGACAAAGACCGATTTCAAATTAGCTTAATAAAATTGGAGGTGACCTCCCACAGATGGTTAGTGTTTTCAAATTTAGCTAAAGCTAATATGGTTAGCCGCTAACAAGAGTAACTCGCTGCTTAATCAGGCGAAATAAGCTGAAGTAAAACAAAACTCTGAAGTTCATAAACGGTACATGACCACAAAATCAACTTACTGCAGATGAACGTCGGTCATCCATCGCGCCATACACCGCCGCTGGCCAGCTCACACCGATCCGCTGCCGCGCTAACAGCCGCGCCACACTGAACGGCCGGAAATGACGTCAAATCTAAGCGCTTTCACCTGGATGTCAATTATTTTCCATGTAGCCAATGAGCACAAAGCCCGCCCCCACGTAAAATCAGGCTCAGCTTCGTAAACGAAAAAAAAAAAACTGAACGTAATCGTAAATCTCTGGACTGAATGCAGAGGCGGGGAGCAGAAAGGTAAACTCAGCCAAAACTTGTTTCAGTGTGTTCTCCTTAATTTAAATCTTTTAATTTTTGCTTGCAGTTTTAAGTTTAGTCATATTTTTTTATTTACTTAATTTATTAATTTACAATTTATTTTTCCACACTTACATATTTTAGTTCGAATTTACAAATTCATTTTTAAAATTTCCCATTTTTTGTTGGAATTTACAATTTTTTTTTTCAAGTTTTGAAATTTCATTAGATTTTACAATTTCATTTTTCGAGTTTTCAATGTTGTTTTTTATTTTTACACTGAGCTGAGCCCATTTTGATGCCATAGATATTTGCATTACTCGTCGCTGTTACTAAATACTCTGATCTGATGAAACAAAACCTAAAAAGTTAAAAGTGGATCTTTTGTCAGTCTGCTTGCTTTTAGAAGGTGCTAAATGTTGTCTGGCACACAGCAAACATGACTAGTCAAGGAACAGCATAGCAGCAGCAACCAAACTTTGACTCATTACACAATATATCATCATTATGAAGGTCACACTTGATATACTTACACTGCTAACATCATTACTGTAAGTCAGAATCAATAGTGTCTTCTGTCAGGCTCACCATTGATTTAGTAGCAACTGCAGCATCAGTATTGAAATAGTGAAATATTTGTCTTGGTAAACACATTAATAATTGATGATTGGTAAAAGCATTTCACTGTGGCTATGTAAGCAAAATTATGGTTAAGTGTGCAGTGCAAATACAAAGTAAGCATACTCAAAGGTCCAGAGTACTGCATTTCTGTAATTAAATATTTTCATCATTATTTTCTTCTTCAGTAAATAGCAGCTGCTGATTTTTGTTCTAACCAAAATCCATATAGAAGTCTTTACAATTCATTTGTACTTTAAATATATTAAAACAAAACAAAGTATTTTATTCAGATGCTAAATTAATTAATTCATTCATTCATTCATTTATTTTTTACCGTGTCTTGTACAACAGTAAAGCAATCCAATTTGTTTGATTTGTACAAAAAACAAGCTTCACAGATTTCCACAACAGAGGCATTACTGGTTTGCCAGATTGCTCCATGTGATATATGTTTTTATAAGAACTTTATAAGAACTTATGTGCATCCCTAACCCAGGAGGAGGGTGGACTATAAGTCACATGCAAGGGCTGAACAAAAGCTCTGAAACAACTGTGATGTGAAATGCTGGTGTTTAATATTCAGATCAGCACACATGGAAAGAGTAAAAAGAATATTTTGTTTCACTGTTAAATTGTTTGTCAGGAACAGAATGCTGTGCTGCGTAACTGTTCAGCAAATTCTGATTTAGTTAAAAAAAATAGATTTTTGTCTTTACTGTTTTGAAGACCTAATGAGATATTGATGAATAAAGTTTGTAAACAAGGCACAGAGGCAGTCGAATTATTTTCACCAGTGTCAATTTCTCATCTGTGAGAATCATTTACAACCCAGCGTGAGAACATAACTTCCCCCAGTCTTGACTTCTCTGTACTGCAGAGATGACGGGAGGGCAAGATGACTAACAGAGACTGTAAGTGGTCTTAATGAAGATGAGTGGGGAAGTGGTGTAATTGTGCTACGGAAGAGAATGCCGATGTCTTCCCTCGCCATGACAGGAGGCCTCTGGCAACATTTACATGCAGGTGTTGTTGTTTTGCACTGTGACTCGTGCTCCATTCCCTTCAGCCAAGTCTCCTCCTCACAATTAAAAGAATAATTAGCAACAAGGCTTCCAGTTTATAAGTTAGAGAACAATTAGACAAAAACAATGAAGTCTGATATACGGTTTGATGGAGGTAGAAAGTGAGAGAAAGCAGCCATTCCTACAAACACGCGCTGTGCAACAGACAAAAACACCTATGTGTAAATGACAATGCCTCTCAAACACAAATCAACCAACCAACATACCTTCCGACCTACCTAATCGGCTTTTGCTTGAATTTCTATGAATCAACAAATTACTCAGTAGTTTCTTTTCCTGCTCCTTTTTCTATAGTGAGGATTTGCGTTGTGGAATAAAAAGCCTTGTTGAATGTGTGGAACACAGGATCCAACTCTACCTGGGTGTCTTATGTAGTCTGGACTTTGATCAAAAACGAGAGTGGCAGTAGATATTCTGCTGGGGTGAGGCTGAGTTAGCGACCTTGGGTTCTGTGGGGTTCTTGGGGGGCATTAGAAAAGGGGGTGCCTATTGGGGTCAGCGGGGGAGCAGGCTCCCTGGGAGGGCTTAGGCCCCCAGTCTTTCCTCCTCATCCTCAGACATTTCCCTCGTCCTGTTCTATCGCATCACCACAGATGCACATAGGGCCTTTGGGTGAGCAAACTGCTGCCACCCGCAAAATGCACTTTTAAACAACATGACATTGGAGCAGGCGGATAGAGACTAGGGGTTTTCTCTGTTATTCGTTTGCTACCCGGCAATGGAGGCTAGGAATGGAAGCTGGCTGTATGGTTGGGGTCTTGGGTGGTGGGTTGCTCTGTCCTGCTTTAGGTTGAATCCGTATGTTTCAAGCGTTATCCATTATTTCATAATCCATTGCCGAATTGTGATTGGCAGAAGCTTTGTCGGTTTGCGCCTCACTTTTTTTACAGCAGCCCAAAATGATCACCTAACACATGGATTTTCTGCTTCCTGATCACGTGTGATGTACGTGGATGAAGATCAGCTTTAGAGCTGGAATGTTAATATCATCACCAATGACTTTAGAGAAAAAAGCTTGTCTCACCTCGGATTTGTAAGTGCAAAGCTGTATTCTTTAAAGTGCTGTGCATTATGCACTCCTCGTTCTGTTGTTTCCTGTTGGCCAGATGAAACTTTGAGAAACCTCAACATTTAAATCATCGTGACATTCCATTACATGCATGAATCTCTTCTTGTGTGGAGTCGACCCAATGACAAGGTTTATGAAATTAGATCTTTGAGACTTTGTCTTCACTTCCACTTTATTTTGTATTTTTTTCACAAAACTCAAAACATTTCTTCTATTGTGTATTCTCATCACCTGACCAATCTTCATCACGACCCTAAAGCAACACCTCGTAGGTTACTGAAGTAACCATGTTTCTGATCACACATTCATTAAAAAGAGAGATCATATCTCTCCTGTCTTAGCTTCCCTACATTGGCTGCCTGTTAAAATTCAGAATAGAATTTAAGATCCTGCTTCTCACATATAAAGCTCTTAATAATCTAGATCCATCATACATCAGTGACCTGATTGTTCCAAATTCAAATTCAAAGATACTTTATTAATCCCAGAGGGAAATTAGAGTTTCAGTACACACAATTCTGAGATCAAACATACATACATACATAGGCATAGACACATGACAAGAACTGGTGACTGTGGTCATTCGCAACCCGAGCCTCACTACCTTAATAGAGATCAGAGGGTTTACATGAGGACTGGTCAGGTGGAGGAAAAAAGGCACTTCAGAGTTACCCTCCACAGGGAGGGCAGCTTTGCTATGCAAAAAACACCTCAGACAAAAATGCAACAAACTTATGACATCACACAATATAAGTGTCCACTAGGTGGGAGGTAGGGTTGGGGACTTTCCACACATCAGTGCATGCAGCCGCGATGAGCAGCACTCGTCACCTCCGTTTGGACAGGGGTGGGAGGTAATTGGGTTAGAGACCACAGTGACTCCTGGAAACGATTCAACGGCCTTCACTTCAATTTGCTGGGTTCCTAGGCTGGGCTAGAAAGAAAGAGTTGCCATGGCGATGGCAGCATTCCACATTTCTTCTGAGGGGGAGTAATCACTTCAGCCTCACAGGCTCAAGGGCACCAGATTCAGATAAGAACTTGTTTTGGGGCCAGACAGACATAATTTCCTCTCTGTCAAAGTTCTGTTGGTCTCCAACCCCTCTTAATCCAATAATGGCGTGAATTAATCTATTCCCCACCATGCTGTCCCATCCATTTTCTCCTTGATCGAATCCACCTTCTGTGCCAGGGTCTGAATCTCAGCCAAAGTTCCAAGCTTATGACTCATCTTGACAAATATGAGTTTGTGCGTTCACAGCGCGGTGTAATCCATCTCTGAGCTCTGGAATTGAGCCAATATTCCTCGACAGCTCATTAATTTTCCGGTAAGCCAGGTAACCGCTCAGGCCAAACAGCAAGAAACCTGACACCAACACCACGGATACCCAGACATCTTCAGAATTCTCTACAGACAATTAAGAGAGGCAGATCAGGTTCCACTGTTTCCAGGAGTCCATGATATGCCCAGCTGGCTCTGTCCAAGAGGGGCACCCGGGAGCCCCTTCTCCCGTTCTCATCGTTGAAACGATTTTGTCAATCGCATTGAGAGACCAACTGACCAGGTCGATTTTTAATAATTTCCAGTTTCCAGAAAAAATGCAGAAGCACTGTACACCCACAGACAGACAAAGAGCCTTGGGATAAGATAGGGAGGAGAGGAGGAAAAAAGTGTCTGTACTCTCCAAGAGCTGGAAGAAGAATAATGTTCTTTACCGAGCACTTCGCTCTCAGACTGCAGGTTTACTGGTGGTTCCCAGAATATCTAAAAATAGGATGGGAGGCAGATCTTTTAGCTATCAGGCTCATCTGTTGTGGAATTAACTCTCAGCTTTAGTCAGTGAGGCAGACACCTTGTCTACTTTTAAGAAACATTTATATTTGATAGGGTCTATGGTTAAAATCTGATGTTAGCTTAGATCTGGACAAGTGGGGGCGTAGAGGGAGGTGGAGTGTACAGTCGGTAAAGATGGCTCTCCCTTGTCCTGCCTCCAACATGCCTCCATCTAAAAGGCTAGGTTATCCAGAGTTATCTCTGTAGTTATGCTGCTATAGGCTTAGAATGCTGGAGGACACACTGACCACTTTCCACACTCGACTACTTTCTTCTACAATTTGCTCTTTAACTGCATAATTTCCTGCTATTTCAGCTGTTAACTTTATTTTTTCTGTAAGTGTGTGTGTGTGTGTTCTCTCTCTCGATCCCCAGTGACTCGTAGTGGATGGCTGCTTATACTGAGCCAGAATCCTCTGGAGATTTCTTGTTAAAAAGGAGTTTACCTCTCCACTGTTGCTAAATGCTTGCTTAGTAAAAGGATTGCAATTTGCTGGGTTCCTTATGTAGGAAACTTTATTCTGACTGGCTTAATGAACTGACCTGTATTGGAATTATTATGTGAAGTGCCTTGAGACGACTCTTGTCGTGATTTGGCGCTATATAAATAAACTTGAATTGAAACTTGAATTAACAACTATTTCATGGATATGTATAGATCCACATGGTTTGTTTCTGCTGCTCCTGTTTCTAAGTAACTCTTTGGAAACATTTTAATGAGTTCAACACTTTGGGAAACTAATTAACCTGAGAATAGTAAGCAAAACTATGAGTTATGAAAGAACATTAGATTATTCACTAGTATAAGATAGGGACTGTGCTTTAAATGTAAGTACTGGTACTGCCATATCAAGATTTCACCTTTCAGAGTATCACGGCTAGCTTATCCTGTACACCTGAGCTGCATACAAGTACTTATTTTTCCATCTAAAGCAGGGGGACTTTTGCATTTCTTTGTAGTGAAAATAATGTGTAATTTAATACTGGGTCAGATGTACATATTATAATAAACCCATTTACATTTGTATGTCTAACAATTTTCCTGGACTGTCGGATCAAGAATTTCTCAAAAATAAGTTTCTTTTTAGTGTATTTACAGTTGTAGCACCAATTCACATCTTAATTCTCTATGCACAAAGCAAATAGCCAGAAAAGCCTACTAGTGTTAAATCCAGCAGAGGGTACATTTAAAGACGCTTGTTTGTTCTAGCCAGGCACAAACAAGAATGTGTGGAGCACACCAGAACCTACAAAAGGTCAATGGCTGTGTTCTGTGGTGATCTGTTTTGTTCAGTTGACGGACAGTATAATAATATACTTAAAATTGTACACAAATGACTATATTGTTTGACATTGTGGAGCCATTATAATTTTGATGTGTTTTACATGCACACAAAATATGTCAACAGCTCGCAGCAGTTTGTTGCTGAGTATTATTCCTTATATCTGTTCTTCATTTTGTTTTCTTTTTGTCATCTTGTCTTATCGATCAACGTATCGATGTATCAAAGAAACATATATTTTTTAAATAGAACATCCATTAAAGTTCACATTTTATCAAGTAAAATGGGGCCCTACACCCCCTACAGTGGGCTCAGCTAGGAAGGTGAGGAAGGGGCAACATAAAATGGAAAAGTCTAACGTAAGGTCACCCTGGTGGGGGAGGGGGGGGGGGGATCATGACAAAGCAAAACCAAACTCAAACCGTCCTTGTCTTCAAGGGTTTCTTTATTAAAAGGGGCTGGAAAATCCAAGACAGGCACAACCCCACCTGGAAATTAACCACGGTCTGTCTAAAAGACAAACCAAACTAAAATTACCAAATTAACTGAAAATATCCGGGCACCAAATTTCCTAAAACTACTCTCCTTTATTTAAAGGGGACTGGAAATCAAAAAAGGGCAAAACCCCATCTGGTAATTAACCAAGGTTTATCTAACAGATAAACTAGAATTATCAACTAACTGAAATTGTCCAAACACCTAAAATCCTAAAATACTCTCTCTCTCTCTCGAGTAGTAAGGACAAAACTGCAAAAAGTTTACCAAGCCAAGAACCACAAGGGAAGAGAA